TATCTTATATCGCTTTCTCTCACATTATTCATACATATATACACACATACATACACACACACACACACACACACATATATATATATATATATATATATATAGTTTATGCAAATTTAGGTAATCCGTATGGGTAGACCTGAGGAGGATGATATCCAGAGAGCTCAATGTAAAATTCAGAGCATATATGTTTGAATAAAAGACAGACCACGTTAAGATTCCATGTAATAAGTTATTTCACCATAACCCCTTTAACAGGGTTCTGGATCATCAGAATTTACTTCCAAAGCGAAATGAAAAATGAAAAGAAAATTCACAGGTTTTTTACGGACCTCATCAAGTATACGCAAAGTTAACGAAGTGAGGAAGTGAGGTGGGAGAGATATGAGTGTGTCATATGTATCATTTAGTTTCCTATTTTACACACATTTATATATATATATATATATATATATATATATATATATATATATATATATATATATATATATATATATATATAATGTGTGTGCGTATTCTAAAGAATGAATTAATTTATTTTTAAGCGTATATTTTTCTTTTCATTCGAATGAATTTTTAGTGGATACTTGCTGTAATAATATAACAAATGTCACGAGTAATAAGTTGTTGAAACCTCAAGGAAGTTAAACTTTATAAAACAGCACAATAATACATTGATTGCAGATCTTAATTTTAACTTTGAAATATATTACGGAATTAGTAGAAAGTAATTTACTAAGACGAACATGTTTTGATGTGCATTAATCAAAGTAAATTTACGCCATGTTTTTCGAAGCTTTCACTTCTGTTGGAAGATTGTATATTAGCACGACGTATAGTAAAATAAAAAATCATTAAATAAAATTTAAAGCAAAAAACATGAATTTAAATAAAATTAAATTTAAATCTTCGCCCATAAATCTTATTTTAGACCGATGATGTCCTCAAAGTTTCTATTTTTTAGTTGATTTTCTTAATATGTGCGTGTGTGTGTGTGTGTTATTTTTATTCGTATATATCTATTTTTCTATCCATTTCTATATATTTTAATGTTCTTTTTCTATTCTATCCCTTTTATATTTTTTCTATTTAACCATTTTTATCTATATATCTTTCCCGTATAAGTTATATTTTAATAGTATTTTAGAATTCTTTTAATAACACTTTTAAATTTGAATATCTCTTGATGGGTATATATGCCTGTCTTTATCAATGTATGTGTGTATATTCGCTTATATATTGTATGCATATGTTGTCTTTTTTGTTGTTGTTTTTTAGTTTTGTTTTTAAGGGCCGTGGACATTTTTCCTGTCTCGACCCTTTTTTGCGTGTTTATATATCTAAATATGTCTGCGTTTCTGTAATATAATCTGATTCTGTGCGTATTGTCTTTTGCAATATTTCACCATCCCTAACTCATATCTTCCACTGAAATGTATCTAAGTTGTAACGGAGTTCAAAGCAGCATTAGTTCTTAAAGTTTATTCCAACTTAATTTCAATAAAAAACAAAATAAATAAATAAAAACCTATATATTCTTTCCTCAGTTTCTTCTTTAAATAATTTTATAATTTTAAACTTAATATAGAAAAATTTAAAATTGGTAATTTTTAATTTTTAATTTTATAGCATAATTTAATATTAGTTAGAATGAAGTCTATTTTAGCCTAACCCTATCATTACAGCATTAAATATTTATTATAAACAAAGTCCGTTTTCAATTTTTTTTTTTTAATTCTCCTATACTTGTATTTTGATAGGTCATTTCAGCTTATGTAACAGCGTTTCCCCTAGCGAGGGATGTTCGACTTATTTGAACTTTTTAAAACCCTTTATTCTACATTCAACACCATCACTTGAGAAGATACCAGTAGTGTTAAAAGATGGAGTAGTGGATAGCGGCTTGGATTGAGGAATCGCAGGGCCGAGTTCGATTTCCAGTCGAATCCGCTACATTCACTTACATGCTAATACCATTGGGAAATGTATGAATCCTCTTTTTCTCCCTCTAGCTATGAGTAAAATAGCAGGACAGACTGGGTTCTACAGCCTAGGATGGCAACTGGTCTAGGAGATCTCTGAATTCAAAACCTGCGGATGGTCGTTTGGGAACCCTGTGGCACTCAGTGCACCAGGTCTCTGCATTCGGCCCTTCAAAAAATGTGGATGGTCCTGCACGAGGCCTTCACCACTATAATCAAATCTCATGTGCTGGTGTCGGGCTGTCGCTTTCCTGGAAACTGATCTGCTTGACCCTCATACGTCGAAATCGACTGGAGAGTCGACTTTCTCTCTCTCTCTATATATATATATATGTATTAGTAACACCATAATTTTATAAATATTGTAAATGTATAAAACGAAACGATAGTACTATTTTATATATACATTCTCAAGTCCTTAATGTAAGTTAAAAGTAAGTTAACAGAAGTTACGTTAATACCATTTTTGGCTACCTCCACGTGAAACGAGTTCACTTTTTGTATAATAAGAATTACATGTCACAGGGGTGAGCATCAGGATTTTAGAGAGGCCTAGGTGTGTGTGGTCAAAAAAGGGCTGGGACCACTGTTCTTAGGCATTTTGTAAGTTTTATCTGACAAGGAAAAATACCAATAGACTTTGATCAGCAGAAGCACCATAAGAAATAAAATTTAAGACAAAAAAATTAAGTGTAAATAAATTTGGTTTTCATATAAAAAAAAATAAACAGTAAAACAGTTTTAGTACTTTTCTTCTGTGTAATTTCATGACTTTCCAAAATCTGCGTACCAATAATACATTTAAAAAACTATACAGTCTTAGAAACGAAATAAACTGGACTATTTTTTTCGAAATCATTTTATGGCCGACAAACAAAGGATTTTCTTGCTAAGAACGATGCAGCCTTTTCCTTTGTTAAAATTGGATTCTCTTGCGTTTATTTATAAAAAAAAGAAGTTAAATCGTAAAACAATTTCAACATAGAAAAAATAGGTGTTAAATTATAATCTTTCTGTCAGATGTTAATCCTGTGTTTGAAATATCGATTTTTCTTGCCAGCCTAACAATAAAAAAAACGACAAACAGACGTTGACATACAGTACGTGATATAAGACTTAAACCATCGACTTTGACACGGTGAAATTAAATAATGGCGTTTCAAATCATTACCATCATTATCATAATCATCATCATCTTCAATCGCATGATCACATTTGGTCTTAGGGTCAGTGCGCTGATAGGTCCGTTGACCAATTCCTTCCACTTTGCTTCGTATCCTTTCATGCGTAGCCTGTCTTTGGCAATGTAGACCTGGCGGAGATAATTCCTCTCCAGGTAAGAAGACAGTGGCTATTCATCTACTTGGAGGCTCGACTTCGTCAAGGACATGAGGCCTTTGATTCCGTCCTCAGTAGTTCTTTGTCCTCTATAGATTTAGCCTGCAAGTCAGCTGAAACACACTGTATTGTTTGTTTCCCAATTGAATTAATCTCTGGTCAGATGACCATATAGTTCGATGCTAGAGTCAATAAACTTAAGATGACAGAAAGGACTGATATATATATATATATATATATATATATATATATATATATTCAGATTTTTTAGATTGCAAGGGGTTTTTGGAGATTTACTGATACAAGTTTTAATAATTAACCCATAGAAGCGGGAAGAATTAAAATAAAGTTTTCTCAAAAGTATTTATATTAATTACACTCGTGATACGTAGTTTATAATGGAATTGTTCATGTTTATGATGAGGAAAATAAAACTGCCTTATTTTAACGTTATTTTTCTCCAAACTAATAAGAGGATTCACGTATTTCCCAACGGTATTAGCACGTAAGTGAATGTAATGGTTCGACTGGAATTCGAACTCGGCTCTCCGATTCCTCAATCCAAGCCGCTATCCATTACTCCACCGTTCCTCCTCTGCCGGTATGTATGTATGTATGTATGTATGTATGTATGTACACCTTTCTCTCTCTCTCTCTCTCTATATAATCTATATATATATATATATATATATATATATATATATATATATATCTATATCACACACACACACACACATATATATATATATAATCTATATATCTATATCTATATATAACTATATATATATAACTATATATATATATATATATGCAATTATACTGTATTAATGTTAATATAAAGTCAACGTCGGACGTTTCGGTCTATTTTATGTTGTGAAAACGTATTCGAAGATGATTTAGATATAAGAACCTATTGATCTCTGCGTATTCCTATATCAACGGAAGGGGTTTCTTGAACTGTTTATATAAAATAGTTCAATCGACTTTTTTAATATTTTAATATTTGGAAATTATCTTGGAATACGTTTTCACAACATCGCCCACGTGACGACGATGTGATCATATTTAAACGGAACGCTGATCTTATATAAAATTTCAGTTATCTGTTTGGATTAGTTGTGCTCTTATGTCCATCGTCTTTTCGTGTTGAATTTTTATATGTTCTAATGTTAATTATGTTTAAATGATAATGTCCTGAAGATGGTCTAAAATAGAACGAAACGTCCGACGTTGACTTTATATTAACATTAATACAGCATAATTGCATATTAAGATTTTTTTTCTGTATATTTTTCTTCATATTTTATATATATATATATATATATATATATATATATATATATATATACCGTGTTTGAATGTATAAGGTGCACTATTGGTGTTCTAATAAAGGGTAATTTTTAAATCTTACCTAAGTCTGCATAGTAAGTCAAATATTTTTAATTTGATAAAGTATTTAAACTGTAGCTTTATTTTTACTAACCCTGTATTTTGCAAGGAATCTGTTAGTTTTCGAAAACAGAGAAAACCAACCTGCAAATGAAAAAAATGCCAAATGGGTGAGCCATATTTTTAAGATAAAAATATAAATTTTGTATTGTGTTGTTGTCGATCAAACAAGTTTAGCGTCTGTATTTGGACAAAGGTGATGGAGAGAAAGTCTAGGAATGGAAAGGGAAGTGTCTAAGAGAGCGTGATGCCAACAGATTTATGACTTTCTAATAGTCGGTAAATGTCAACTGGGAAACAAATTCTGCTACTGGAAATATTGCGGAGAAATATTTGGAGATATAGATTATTTAGTAAAATAAAGACTGAGACCGGAAGAGAGAAAAAATAAGGATGAAAGAGAGATTTAAAAAAATGGGACAGAAAAGGAGAGACCAAAACATAGCGACGGAGAGAGAGAGAGAGAACGAGAGAGAGATAGAGAGAGAGTGGGACATGGAGGGACATAGAGAGAGAGAGAGAGAGAGAGAGAAAGAGAAGAAAATAATTAAAGAAAAAGGAAGATATATTAAGAGAAAAAAGAAGAGAGCCTAAGACCGAAAGAAAGAAAAACACTGACCAAGACAGAAAGATATAAACATGAATCCCTCGATTAATGCGGCTAATCTATACATCAATAGCTATAAAAAGAAATCAATTTTTAATTACTAGGGTTAAACTGAAGAATATTTTACCGCACTAACCGAGTATTATGTATGCACTAATCGAATTTTGGTACATAAAATTTTAGCGCACTAATCGAAAACGCATTAATCGAGGGATGCCTACATATTGTTGTAATAGTCTAATAGTTCTAAGGGTCGGCATATTTGGAACAAATTCTGCTATTCTAAATATTGCGAAGAAGTATTTGGAGATGAAGATTATTTAGTAAAATAAAGACTGGGACAGGAAGAAAGAAAAAATAAGAATGAAAGAGAGATTAAAAAACAATGGGACAGAAAAGGAGGGACCGAAACAAAAACAAATAAAACGGAGACAAAGAGAGTAAAAAATAGCGAAAGAGAGAGAGAAGAGAGAGAGAGAGAAAGAGAAGAAAATAATTAAAGAAAAAGGAAGAAATAGTAAGAGAAAAAAAGAAGAGAGCCTAAGACCGAAAGAAAGAAAAAGACTGACCAAGACAGAAAGATATATACATGAATCCCTCGATTAATGCGACTAATTTTTCCATCAGCAACTATAAAAACAATCAATTTTTAATTACTTTAGTAAAACTGAAAACTGTTTTACTGCACTAACCGAGTATTTTGTATGCACTAATCGAATTTTGGTATATAAAAAAATTAGCGCAATAATCGAAACTAAACGTATTTATCGAATGCGAATTAATCGAGGGATATCTATATATTGTAGCATGATTCGCGAGTGTCCAGGAAAGACCCATACCGTTTTACAGAGTGATACACAGGGAAATGTTTGGAGGCAGAAATGATTAAAAGACTGAAGGAAAGAGTGTGACAGTCAGATTTATAACATTGTCACACCCGTCCAATATCCGAGGTAATGGCAACGCGTTGACTAAAAGCTCAATTTAGAGACGTGAGCAAACAGAGAACAGGCATACAGACACACAGACAGAGAGATCATGATACGCATTTTTTACTAATAGTCGTTGACTGACAACCTGACTTCAGGACGTAAGCGACCATGTCTCTACACAATTTGCTATCTTTTTCGTTTTTCTTCGATCCATTTAGTCAAGCTCACTATGTAAGATATGCATTGTTTTACTCTGTCCATCTTGCCATCAATCTGACCCGTGTGTATAATATTTTCCAAACTCTCTTTCCTCATTATGTGTTCTAGAAATTTCAACTGTCTCTTCATGATGTTAATTAAAAGTTTTCTTTTTGTTTCTATTTTCTTGAAAACCTCATCGTTGCTCACATGTTTGGTCGATGGTATCCTCAGCATATTTCTGTAGAAGCTCATTTCTCTTGATACAAGCCTCTACTTCACCTTTGAGGAGATTATCCAGCATTCACTACCATATAGGGGGATGGATATCCCATACCAGATCATTACTCTTTTATCTATTTCTAACAAAATTATCCTGTTTCTTAATACTTGTTCTTAGCTTCTGTAAAGCATTTTTGTCTATCTTAATGAACCTCCGGATTTCATTATCGCACTTTCTGACTTCTGTTAAAACACTTCCTAGATATATATTTTTTCTTTTGCTTGATTTTTCTATCTCCGATTTGTAATTTGCATTTTGCGTTCATCCTTTTATTAACAACCATAATTCTGTCTTTTGCATTTGAGGTTTAATCCTTTCTTCTTCCTTTACTTCTGTAGGAGTTTTTGTAGTTTTCTTTCCATGCCTGCCATCAACACTACGATATTTGTATATGTTGTTAAGATTGTAGCCAGTCCTATTTGGACGTCTAATTCTCTCAGACTCATCTCACAGTTTAGGTTGAATAAATCCGATGAGAAGACAATTCCTTGTCTTACACACTTTTCTATTTTTTGTATATCCGTTGAACATATTTTCTAACTGTATACAGGCCGATTGCTACCAGAATAATTTTCTCGTATCCTTCTTAAAATATGTTAAGAGTGCTGAGCGGTTCCAACAGAGCTTCTAGCATACTTTATCGAATGCCTTTGCTACATCTATAAAATGCAGGTAAAAATCGTTTTGTATTTTTATTAATATTTCTGATAGCATCCTGAGTATAAATATCGGGTCTCTTGTTCCAGTAGCTTTGTCGAAACCACACCGCTATAATATATATATATATATATATATATATATATGTATGTATTAAATACATTTTTATGTTTAACATTCTTTTTTATAGATACAAGTATTTAAGTAAATGCTCTGTTTTATAATAAACAGTATTAAATAACATTTACCGAGAAATTTTCATAGAAAATATTCGTCCTTTGACAGGATTCGAAACTGCATCCTATACGGAACCGTCATTTACGCTGACGTGCCTTAACCGATTAGGCCACAAAGTAGCGTTCGGTAGGCAAGGTTGAATTTACTGCTTATAAACTTCAGTCTTCCATGAATCTCGTACATTTATAACTGCTCATGGCGTATCAAATGTAAACAAATGACGTCATACATTAAGAATTGGAAAAAGTCCGACAATTTATTAAAGACATTTTTATGTTTAACATTCTTTTTATAGATACAAGTATTTAAGTAAATGCTCTGTTTTATAATAAACAGTATTAAATAACATTTACCGGCCTGAATGTCCGAGAAATTTTCATAGAAAATATTCGTCCTTTGACAGGATTCAAACCTGTGTCTGTCTGTCTGTCTGTCTGTCTGTGTGTGTGTGTGTGTGTGTGTGTGTGTGTGTGCTGGTCACTCGTTATTGATGATACCCGTCTACTAGGGCTAGCCAACCTCTATTGCAGGCGCATTTGTGTTTATTCAACAGAGCCTACGAGTGGTTTATACTGCATCTATGCTGAGCAGTCAGTATTAGCGTATTATCTATCCTGATCAAGCCCTCGATGACATGTGACTGCCAATGGTCATCGTTGGTAGCTATCGACCAAGGGATCCGTCTACCCGTTTTCACTCACACGGCTTGGGTCAACGCGTAGTATGGTTTTCAGGCGCTCTCCAGTCCGATAACAGCAGCAAGTCTCTTTCTTGAAAAATCGACCATGGTGAGAATCGAACCCGCCTCACTTTGTCAGAATGCGAGCGTTTTAACCACTAGCCCACATGCATGCATGCCTGCCTGCCTGCCTGCCTGCCTGCCTGCCTCTCTCTCTCTCTCTCTCTCTCTCTATATATATATATATATATATATATATATATATATATATATATATATATATATATATATATATATATATATATATATAATCACTAGAAATGGTCTTTGGTCTTTGAGTTATTCAGCTTAAAAAAGAACACGTTAAACTTGTTTTACGTCAGCCCAAGTGTCTATGTCTTCACAAATGAGCAATGGTGTGAGGAAATGATCAGTGAGGCATTCAATAATAATACCAACATGAGTATTCTGGTTTTCACCTTCAAATTTCATTCAAGAAACATTGGATATTTTTTTTAAAAGAGGGAACAGTAGAGAGGAAAAATGGATCAGGAGCTTCAAAGAAGATTCCAATAATTCTTATAAAAGAACTCGGGGAATTCTATTATGATATTTCTAATCATTTCTAAGATATAAAGTTTCACTGCTTAATGTAATAATTGGATCAATTTACTGTTACAACCGGTGTGTGTGTATATATATATATATATATATATATATATATATATATATATATGTCCATATAATATTATCTTGAGTTCTACCTGGATTCTATCTTGGGAATATGTAGGCTCCTGAAAAATTAATTTCCTTTGTGCTCTCTGGGGGAGTAAATGTGGGTTTGTAAACAGTGATTATTACGGATATTATAGCAAGACTCTTCGGTAAAGCGATTCGAGTCCTCTCAGTCACTATTTGACTCACCTTTCATCCCTGCCGTGCGCCGATGCCTATTCAGTTGGTTTTAATCCTAACTGAGGCAACCGGACGTCTAACCACACTGAAGAGCTGTGCTACAGCCAAACAGCCTGTCTGTGCATGACAATATATATATATATATATATATATATATACTGACCACTAATGTTATCTATCTATCTATCTATCTATCTATCTATCATCTATATATATATATATATATATATATATATATATATATATATATATATGACCAGGTGCTTGACTGGTGTAATAGATATCTGAGAACAGAGTTCAAGATACAGTTCATTAGATTCATTCACGAGCCAATCTCTCGGGAAAGGTAAGTATCCATCTCTACTACCCCTATAGGTCCTATAGACTCGTTTGGCAACCCCTCTAGAAGAAGGAAGTTATATGAATTCTAACCAGCCTAAAAAGAGCTGGCTTTCGTTAGGCAACTTTTCCTAACTCACCACTGCTGACACGTATGCAGTACATAGGATGCCTCTATAAACTTAATAGATTATGGGACTTGGAATCATTTAATATATTGAAGTATGAGTATCCAAACATGTAATTATTTAAATAATTTATATTATTTTATTATTATTATCTTTATTATTCCATTAATATTTTTGATTTTCGCTATTCGATGACCCGAATTAATTATTCCTTTTGCTTCTTAAATTACTTCTAAAAGTCGCATTCAATTTAGAAATCACCCTTTTCCGAACCTCTTCCATCTCATCTCAATTCATGTTAAGAAACCGAGTCTCTACACATTGAAGATTCCAATTTCACTTCTCTTCATCAAGTAAATTGGAGCTCTGTACAGGATGGATGTCCAGTTCTACAAGTCAAGGAGCTATGATGCCGTAATGATGACAGTCATCATTTTACATTATAAATGAGTTTCTCCTAAAATCAGCCAAGTGTAATAGTCGTCATCATTTTAAAAGAAATTTGGTTTTCAACAAAATACCAGTCATTTGAATTAGCTGATTTAATAAAATCTGATTATTTCAACATTTCTTCGCTGTGATATACGCTTAGCTTCTTATGTAAAATTCTGAGAGGAGACAACGTTTTAATATATATTTAATGTACACAATTTTTTTTTTCTTTTTGATGATACAGAGCACCCCGACAAAATGTAGTGACTTTTTAACTTGGTAGAACGTCTTAAATTTGTTTCTTTTTTTTGAAGGATCAATGGATCTAACTTCATTTAATATTTAATTTATACTGTCAATCTTCTTTGTAAGTCAATAAACATTAATATTTCTTACTTTTAACCTTTAACCTGCGTTTGTGAACAATGTTAACCCTTCTCTCTTCACAAATAATTGGTATGTAATATTTAACGGTAGATATAAAAATAGTTACAAGTGTTTTACCCACTAACCGTTGGCTGGGCATTAAGTGATTTTTCTCTACCACTGTTCAACTAGTGTCTGGACATTACATCATTTTTTCTCTGCCAGCGCTAAAGTGGTGACCAGGGCTGAAAGGTTTAATCTTCTTTGCATGTCAAGAAACACTGCATTTATTGTCAATTACGGAGTGCGTGTCTTTTGAGGAAGCCCTGTCTATCGATTAACGGTTACGAGTTTTTATCATACTGTATCCTCTA